GCAAAAGCACTTGAGTAAATAGAATCATTCCTTAGGTAAATATAATTTCAGCGATAAAGTCAATAAATTATTTTCATTTTTTTATTGCTGCTGTTTCTTCTGTTCATATGAATGCATGAGATTAGAATAAATAATAACAATTTTATTCGAATTATGAATTGAAATGAATTGAAATGAATTGAAATGAATTGAAATGAATTGAAATGAATTGAAATGAATTGAAATTAATTGAAATGAATTGAAATGATTTGAACTGAATTGAACTGAAATGAACTGAATTGAAATGAATTAAACTGAATTGTAGTGAATTAAACTGAACTGTAATGAATTGAACTGAATGTTACTGAATTGAAATAAATTGAAATGAATTGAAATGAATTGAAATGAATTGAAATGAATTGAAATGAATTGAAATGAGTTGAAATGAATTGAAATGAATTGAAATGAATTGAAATGAATTGAAATGAATTAAAATGAATTGAAATGAATTGAAATGAATTGAAATGAATTGAAATTAATTGAAATTAATTGAAATTAATTGAAATGAATTGAAATTAATTGAAATAAATTGAGATGAATTAAAATGAATTGAAATGAATTGAAATGAATTGAAATGAATTGAAATGAATTGAAATGAATTGAAATGAATTGAAATGAATTGAAATGAATTGAAATGAATTGAAATGAATTGAAATGAATTGAAATGAATTGAAATGAATTGAAATGAATTGAAATGAATTGAAATGAATTGAAATGAATTGAAATGAATTGAAATGAATTGAAATGAATTGAAATGAATTGAAATGAATTGAAATGAATTGAAATGAATTGAAATGAATTGAAATGAATTGAAATGAATTGAAATGAATTGAAATGAATTGAAATGAATTGAAATGAATTGAAATGAATTGAAATGAATTGAAATGAATTGAAATGAATTGAAATGAATTGAAATGAATTGAAATGAATTGAAATGAATTGAAATGAATTGAAATGAATTGAAATGAATTGAAATGAATTGAAATGAATTGAAATGAATTGAAATGAATTGAAATGAATTGAAATGAATTGAAATGAATTGAAATGAATTAAAATGAATTGAACTGATTTGAACTGAATTGAACTGAATTGAACTGAAATGAACTGATTTGAACTGAATTGAATTGAACAAAAGTTGAACCAAATTTTATCTTCTTAAACAGGTTTACCTCAAATTTGAAGCACCAAAATACTTCCACCAAACCATCTATCATCAATATTAAAGAATTCCTCGTACCTGAAAGAAGAAAATTCATTACCAACAAGTTCCCGATGATAAATGATCTCCAATCGATAATTCCATTATTTTTCATCACAAAAACCCATGTTGAAGTAGACAAAGTCAAGAGATAGACTTAAGAAGGAGAAGATGAAGTGAAATATGTCACGTCAACAGGTGTGCGCATGCAAAAAAGTCAGTAAGCTCATTATATATATCAAATATACCAGTGTCGAGAAGTAATTGAGTTATAAACTTTAATGCTTTATGTTCTGTGAATTTTTTATTCCGCTTCACTTCCTTTTCTCTCTTTAGCCCTTAAATATACACCATCATCATCATCATCATATGATTTTTTTTATTCGTAGCTTAAACGGCTTTTAACACTCTTTAGCAGCCGTAAAGAGAGCGAAACAAACTTTGTTAAACACTCTAGTTAAGGCAAAACTTTTGGATTTTTTGAATTTTTTTAAACTATGCTAATTTGTTGATATCTTGAGGATATATTTTCATTTTGTCATGGTATATTACAGTAAGTATTTGGATGTTTGGTTCATTCTAGTTTAATTTACTTCAACTCTGTTCAATTCAAATCAAATTTAGTTCAATTCAGTTCAATTTAGTTCAATTCAGTTCAATTTAGTTTACTTCAATTTTGCTCAATTCAATTCAAATTTAGCTCAAATCAGTTCAATTCACTCCAATTGAGTTCAATTCACTTCAATTCAGTTCAGTTCAGTTCAATTCAATTCAGTTCTATTTACTTTAATTCAGTTCAATTCAGTTCAATTCAGTTCAATTCAGTTCAATTCTGTTCAATTCTGTTCAATTCTGTTCAATTCAGTTCAATTCAGTTCAATTCTGTTCAATTCAGTTCAATTCTGTTCAATTCTGTTCAATCCTGTTCAATTCAGTTCAATTCTGTTCAATTCAGTTCAATTTAGTGAACCGTTAAAAATGCGCATCGCGATGACTTACATTAGAAGAAATCCTCAACTTCCTCATCAAAACATCCATCGTCGTCACAAATTTTAAAGTTAGTATAAATGAAAAAAAAAAACATTGAATGTTGAGAGATATAGACATATCTACATGTATGCAAATATGTTGGAGCAAGAAAGTTCACGGATGTGTTCATGAGTGTTGAAGGAGAAACATGCCCCATTATGTTCACATCCAAACACAGAATAAAAAAGTTTCGTTTTTCATTTTTTGAATGAAAACTTTTACACGCTTGGAATGCTTCAACATAAATTTTCTTGAAGTGCGAGCATGAAGAAAAGGCTGAAATTTTTTTAAACTTGTTTCTTTATTTTGACTTGTTAAAGTTGAAGTAACACGGAATATTGAGTTGTTGGTGATGAGGAAGTTGGTGATTAAGGCGCTCTAAGTGAAATGCATTTGAATTTTTATCTCATTCATGAAATATAAACCAGACCTTAATAATCTTCATAATGGGGAGGAAGAAAAGGAGCCCATCATCTCATAATTAAAGATAGACAGGCAGACAAACTCACGAAGCATTCGAGCAACCTAAATTCCAGCATGAATATCTGCGTCTTAAAAACTTGAATAAAGGAACGAAACAACAGCAGCGGTGAATGAATCTGAAGAAGAAAAGAAAGGCAAAAAAAAATTATTTTTATGTAAATGAAGGTTTTTTTTTTGCCTGTGAATTAAACATTACTCACTCATACCTATATATTCTATAGAACTTTTTCTGAAAGGAAATGACAGTCATGATCACAATTTGTCTGGGCTTAAAGATGATTAAAGTTAGAGGAATTGGTGGGAAATGAAACGGAACTCAGATAATTTTTTACTCAACGCACGATTGATGCAAAATTTATTTTACTAAACGCACTTTTGATGCTATATTTATTTTTGATCAAACAAACTTTTTAAATTCAAAGCTAAAATACGCCCTAGCCTCAAAAATCACCTTTCGATTTTCATCACGATTCTTTTAATTTTTAAGTATTTATTTCTTCTTGTCTTAATTCCATCTTATTGCGTCTCCTCAACCATTTCTGGCTGACGAACGATGATGAAAACTTGTGGAATTTTGCATAAGGAAAGAGTAAATAGAGAGATGAAATTTTATTGGAATTCTTATCTCCAACCAAAAGTACGCTTTTTATTGCATTTATTTATTCCATTGTCTATCCAACCGACATTAAAAAACCGTAGAATGATTGCGATTTCTTTGAAAAGTAATTTTAATGAAAGATGATAACACACAATTGCACGTCTAAACCTAAAAGAGCACTAAAATGGAGAGGAATAAGTTTATGTTTTAACGACTTTGTATTGTCTTTGAATATCCACGTCTTAAAATGTACAACGACAGCAGCAATAAAATATTTAAAAACAATTTTAAAACGGTTGTCGAGGGAGAGCAGAAACAATGCGGAGATAAAACGAAGGAATTCTTTTCATTACAGCCACATGGATCCTTTCATACGTGTGCAAACGCGGGAAGGGTATTTTTTGTTGAGAATTTTTAGGTTAGGAAGAGGAGGGTGGGGGGGGTGTATTAAAGGTTTTCGAAGAAGCTTTTAATATTAAAGTTTAATTAAATTTCTGAAATTATTAAATAATCTGGTTCAGAATTTGATTAAAATTTTAATTTTATACAGAAAAAGCTCATTTTGGGACTTTCAAAAATGACGTAAACCAAAAAAAAAACAAAAAAAGAGAAATAATAAATTTTGTACAACAGATGAAGTTGGACAAGACCCTGAAGAGCTGAAGGCTTTTTAAAATCAATTTTTCCTAGACGTCATTTACGAACGACCCCATAATCGAGTTTCCAACTAAAGCTACACATGCAGAAAATTCCTAGGAATTAATCATTAAATTTACTCATAATTAAAATCAAAATTTTAATGATAATTTCTAAGAAGACATTAAATAAACCCACCCTCCACCCCCCTTTGTTAAACCAATGCAAAAGATTTTTCATCCAAATATAATGAGTAATCTCCTACCCATGATTAGGCACATGCCGGGTTTGAAAAAAAAAAATATTGAAATTTTCCTGTTGAATTGAGGAAAGAAAAATTTTTATGCTTGGCAATAATGTCTGCCTTGCAGGCCTTTTTTAAGCATTAAACTTTTTTCTCGTGCTTTTATAGACAACCACAACATAAATAAGCAATTTTTATGGCGAAAAAAGAAGCTCAATATTTCATGTTTGTTTATGTTGAAAATTATATTATTATAAGACATAAATGTAAGGAATTGCTTTAAGATATTCATTCGTAAATATTATTTTTTACTTTTTTGAGGTTTTTAGGTTTTTGTCAGAATTTTTCAAAAGACAATTTTTTAAAAACATTTAAAATTAATTTTAAAAAAAAAAAATTCTTTTAAAAAAAATTAAAATTGTGAAGAATTTTAAGAATGTGAAAATTTTCAAAATGTGAAAATTCTATTTTTTTTTCAATGACTTTTAAAAACTTTCAAAAAATAAAATTTTAAATTTTTAAAAAATCCAATGAAAAATTTTATTTTTAAAAATTAAGTTTAAAATTTTATTTATTCTCATTTTTCCAATTCATAACATTTTAAAAATATTTTTTTCTATTTTGCAAAGCCTGACAAAATCATCCAAAGGATTATATCCATTTCATCGACATCAAAAGTCTATAAAAAGCTGTCGTTATTAAATAAATCATCTTTAAAATTCCAATTCAATTCTTCTCAATTTTTGAGGCGCTAGAATAAATTGTTGCCAAGATTATTCTGTTCTCGGCGCTTTAATCTCTTCATTACGAATTCCAAAATCAACAGTGTGTGGAACTTCCTCGTCATCTGCCAAAATTGGACACCATCTGAAAAAATTGAATAGAATTTAAAGTTGAGATTAAAAAGAAATCGATAAGTTTAGTTGAACTGTCTGTTAATGGATTTGGTTATTTTCAAATCTGACTAAGAAGGATTTGTCTTTCAAGCTCTTGCTACCTGAGGTACCCTCTCCTAAAATCAGAACTTACACATCCTGAGATACTTTATTATTTAAATCAAGTATGACTGCGACTAGGAAGGTTCCCCGGGACAGTCTTATAAACCAGTGTTGCTCAATCTTTTTTTGCCACAGAACACCTTGTTCGCCATTACATACGACATTTGGTTCGTGGAATCTCCCGAATCTTTTCGCTGCACACTAGTGTGCTGCAGCACATGGGTGTGCCATGACTGCTAAAAACATGTCCCACACACTAAACTCACCTTTTTAAAATCAAATTCCTTGTTCTTTTCTCACAAACACAGACAATAAAGATCATGACACCTTGAAGGCAATTGAAAATGTCGGTAGCGTAAAACACTTCACTTGACCCCTCGTACATCCAACTGATTGATTCCATACACCACATTATACCCATCAAAATGAATAATCGAAGATATATGTAGAATCTGCTTTGAAATAAAAAATTTGTTTACGAATAATTGCTCATTTTATGTCTAAAGATAAATAAGACGTAATACCTGTTTCTCAGAACTCCTCGTCTCTGCTGTATATTTTCATCATTCGTCAAACTTTGAGCCTTCCAAATTCGTCTTGCCGTGTCAAAAAAGAAAATTATGTTGGCAACGATGATGAGTGAAATGAGTGTGTAAACATAAATTGCTTCTGCTTTATTGGATGCTGTAATGTAGCATCTTTGAATTCCAAAATATGGCAAATAATCTGTTGCGAAAATTTCAAGGTGATCAATCATAAAGACTGCAAATGTTATCAATACTGGCGTTGTGAATGCGTAGAGACAATAATATGAGAATAAGTTTTGTTCCTCTTTTCTGGATCGATTTGAAATGCCGTGGCTAAAAGGAGGAATAAAAGAATGTTAAATTAAAATTATTGAGAGATTACGAAATGCACATTGTTTGGTATTAAGTGTCAAGCTATAAAAAATAGGATGATGTTAAGTAGTGATGAGGTTACGAGAGTCAAAAGTGTGGCAACACCCCTCCCCCCCCCCCCCCAAGACTCCCCCTAATGAAATTAAGTGTGAATTAACAGCTAGTTTTGATGCAGTCTGTGTTAATGGCAGCTGGCTGTGCAAATCTAGAGACTGTAAGTTTAGATGTGATTCTAAAATGTCAGATATAGCTTAGTACAGCGGCGTAGTCAGGAACTTGAAGAGGGGGGGGGGCAAAAAAATTTTTTTATATGGAAAAATTTAAGGGGGGGGGGGTATTTTTTTGTGATTTTTTCATAAAAAACCTAGCAAAATAAAGAAATTTCTGTTTACGTTGGAATCTGTTCCCCAAATCACCCCCCCCCCCCCCCTGGCTACGCACCTGGCATAGTATTGAAGACATCGAATTTATTGTGACTAATAAAGAGCTGACTCTAGAGAGTACGTGCATTTCTCCACAGTTTAAATATTAAAATATAAATCCTCAATATTAACTGCACTCCAAAATATAAGAATTAAAATAAATAAAGCAGACCCCGAACACATATAGTCGTAGGATTGAGTTAATTCACTTCTCCTAAGTGAAATATTTTGTAAACATAAAAAAGAATTTCGTTCAAAAAAAATCCTCATGGCAGCAATTCCATGAAATGTAAACAAAACTCGCTCATTTGAGAGCCAAAATAATCTCTGAGAATATTAAAAAGCTATAAATTCTGTGACTTTACCAAGCATTTACTCATTTCATCTTCATTTACGTTGAGAAATTTCCTGTTATTGACTCACAATCGCGGTTCATTTTAAGTTCAATTCTATAGCCGTATGGCTATTATCTTGAATTTTTTTTTCGCATATTTTGATTATTTTTAAATAAAATTACTCACCTTGAAATCTTCCAAATATCGTAGCACATCGCATTCATCCAGAAGAAAGTCAGAAGTATGGATAAATAAAGTAAATATCCACTGGCGATACAAGGAAGAGTTTGTAGTATTAAATGTGTTTTATCCATCTGGATTATAGATAACGTTGCATAAAGTACAGTCAATGACAATGTATAGCACATTAAGCACTTCCCATGAAGATTTCGAAGCTCAGGAATCAGTGCGTATACTAAAAATGTGATGATCAGAAATGGAATTGAAATCAGCATTCCTTAAAAATTTAAATGAATATTTAAAGATTAAATCAGGGCGTGGACGCTCGAAATTATGCTGGGATTGTTGGAATTATTGGGATTGTTCCCGAATGGCACAAGTCGGTTAATCAATCAGAAATCCGGAACCAAGCAGGTGTGACTCTGTTATGGTGCTGGATTTAGATTGAAGCCAGCACCATGCCAAAATCATGTCTGCTTAGTGCTGGATTTCTATTCAATTAACCGACTTGTGCTATTCGGGGTTGGGATTGTTGGGATTATTAAGGATTTCTTACCAATTGGATAGACTTCAAATCGAGTATCATCAACTTGGTGGAAACACAAATTAGCCACAACTTGTGTATCATTATTGAAGCTTAGACAGTAGTCGTCGGTGTCATGAACTGCGCCGTTTGCAAAAATTGATCCATTCTGTATGTGGAGATAGGAAAGTTTAGAGGTTTAATTTTTTTTTGAGTCTGGTTGTCTCAAGTGCAGTCTAAGGTAGTCGAGGTAATGCCCTCTTGGCTCCTCTATCTTCACTGATGATGACTTAAGAGTCATCAAACCAAAGATGAAGAACTGACTCATTTTTGATAACTTGCATCAAGTTCCTATACTTGATCTATACTCACACTAAGAAAATTCCAGCGATCATCATCATAATCATCTGGTGTCAAATGATAAATCTTCTCGCATGGTCGTCCGATTAAAATTCCATACTTATTTTCATTTATATTAATAACTTCACTTTCTTCATTCTCATTATCAACTGTTAATTTATTTGATGGAATGCAATCCTTTGAATTTTTATGACAACAGAATCGAATGCAAGGTTTAAGTTTGCATACACATCCACGAATGTGTGGATTAACACTTGTTTTTACTTGAACATGATTTTCTATATAATCAAATTCTTGATATGTCCCAAGAGGATACACTTCATCATTATATATAAAATTTTGATTAGAATCTTTAAAGCCATCCGTGATATTGACTGTATCAATAAATTTACATGACAAACTTGCGTCAGCTGATCGGTTGATGAAAATAAAAACAACGATGAGAAATGTCCATTCCATTTTTGAGAATATAATAATTAAGAACTAATTAACACATGAATCTTTACTTATTGAATTCCGACACACAACTGACTTAGCGAATGAGAAAGAGATTTAAGACTTAATTTTGCATTCATACGTACAAACAGTTTCGAGAGAATTTGGGATTTTCTTCGTCGACGCAATTCTCAGGAATTTGAAGAAAAAAAAGCATCAAAACACAGCCGATAACACAAAAAATATTTACATTAAGCTCATTGAGAGATTTTTTTTTGGGAGATCATCTTCTTTTGGAGCTTAAATACTCTTAAAATGTGAAATGATGTGGATCTCTCTTTCTTGTTGAATGCTAAATCATTCGCTCACTAAGCTTGGTGTTTATGTGGCCTTGAAAGGAATTTATTGCAATTGGTAATTAAGTGATATATCTTCATTATTTATAGTTGAAGAGTTGAGGGAAAGTTTGGCAATGACGTCTGAAAATAACGAAATTTTTGATCAACTTAGATCTCGAGTCTTCTTTTAGGAAGGTTGTCAATAGAATCTATCATCGATTAGGATCGTGGTGCCTCCAACTCCTCTATGGGTGTATTTACGAATCGCTTGTCTGGAGCCCTTTCACATTATTAAGGTTGTCCAGGGTATTTTGACATTCAGAATGCAATTGTCTGACTTCACACGGAGATATAAGTTTTTGTCGCCCTAAGCATCTTTGTATGGAATGTTTGATCTTCTTCAATGGCTCCAGAGGTGAAGATTAAAGCCCTGTTTACCCTGATTACCATCCCTTGCTGTGCCTCTATGAACAGCAGTGTCCTAAACCAGAAATTGTCGTTCGGTAAGTGCTTCTTTGCTTGCTGCCACCGACTTTTTCATAATAATTTGGTATTGCATCTCTTTATTTGGAACTTTTGACACCTTTGAGGAATTAGTGGCTACTTATCATACTATTCTAAAGTTAACGACCCCTCACTGTCCATTGCGATGTGTAAGACAGATTTAAATCAATCATTTTGGGATTTATATTTTGAAGAACCGAATTCTTAGTACTAAATCTGATGAATCTCTTTATTGTTGATTTCCAAAGAGAAAAGTTTTATTTCATGATGACGCATCTGACCTTAAATATTGCGTTCATTATAAAAACAAACATACGTCAAACAATTGGAATTCTCTGTCAACTGACTCATGATTTTACTCCGAAGTTGAAACATTTTTTCGACTTGATAAGAAATTTGTCAATGAAATATTTTGCATAGTCCCGGAAAGCACATGGTTGCAAAACAGTTTGAGTCAGCCGGCTTTAGTGCAAAGTGCTTGTTTACTTGGACTTTTTGATTCCGTGTGCTTTCCGGGAATATTATTTCATAGCCCAAAAGGCACATGGCATAAAAATTGCTGTTAATTTGGCATCTAGGACAGATCTTGACAGATATTTTGACGTCGTGTGCCTTTCGGGTAGGTAATTTTCAACCTCCAATTTTGATGCTCCACAATTATCTTTTGCCTCCAAAAGAAAGTACTAAAATTATTACAAGGAACCTTCACACCAATCAATACTCAAATAACTCATCTTCATAATAATATTTCTTAATACTTTAAAAATAAATCTACGAAGAATTGCTGCAAAAAAGTATTTCTAGTCAAACGTGTTTGTTAAAGATTCAAAATCTTTTAGAATTCAACTTCTATATTCACTTTATTCAGTTTTAAATACTCAAGTGAAAACTATAATTATACACAAAAACCAGAAACGATCACTGAAAGATTCATGATCCACATGCCCCGCTTAGCGTCTGGATTTTTTTTTTCTTTTTGTATGACTCAAAATTATTTATTTAAAATAATATTTACATTTAATTCATTTAATGAATAAATATTCTACTTGTATGAAGAGAATTAATTGAAATCGGAAGATCAGCTTCCTTGTCTAGTAAACCATTACATTCAAACTTTCATCGTTGTTCTCAAAATCAGCTTCATAGGTGATGCCGTCATCAGTGGATGATTTTGGTGAGCGACACCTGAAAAAATGGATTGAAATGAGAGATGTTGGTGGGATGTAATTGAAAGAATAGGATTTAAGCTAATATTGGTACAACAAAACTCAATCCATACCTTTTAGTTATCAATTTTCTCGTCCTTTTGTCACTGATACAAACTATAAATATTAAAAGTCCTTGAATACAGCTAATGAAGTCAGTAATTTGAAAAAATGTATGCTTAAAAGATGTTCTTTCAGAATAATCAGTGCTGAAGAAGCTAATTGACTCCATGAGCCATATCACACCCATAATGATGAACAATCGGAGGCAAATTGAGAATCTTAATTTGAAAAAATTTAAAAAAAAATTGAAATTTTCAATATTTTTAAATTTAAAGTTTTCAATTTTTTTAAATTTCAAATTTTATTTTTTTTGAAATTTAAAATTTACAATTTTTTTTAAATTTGAAATTTATAATTTTTTTTAAATTGAAAATTTCTTTTTTTAAAGAAAATTGAAAAATTTATTTCAAAAAATTGAAAAATTTATTTCAAAAAAATTGAAAAATTTATTTAAAACTTATTCAAACCTTTTCCTAAACATTTCCTTCCTTTTATCCGATTTCTTGTCAATACCTGAATCTAAAGCGCTCCAAACTCTTCTTGATGTGTCCACAAATAAAACAACATTTACTAATGTGAGTATTAAGATTGGAATATTGACGTATATAGCTTTTGTCTTTTTATTATGATGCATAAGTCCAAACTGGCCAAATAGTGGATGATAATCATTATGGAAAGGTTTAAAATGATCGATTAGAACTGCAATGACTGTTATCAAAAGTGGACATCCGAAGCCATATAAACAATATTTCAAAAATGTCTTTTGTTCTCCTCTAAGTGATCGATTGCTAATATTTGATCTAGTCAGAAAATAAATTAAATTAATTTGAACCTTTGGGAAGTTTGTGGAGGCAACTTACCTTGAAACTCTCCAAATATCATAGCAAAGCACATTCATCCAAAAGAATGTTAGAAAAATGCTGTAGTAAAGTACAAGAGCTTCAAATTTCTCAATGTTATTATGCTTTGCATACAGCAACAAGCTATTGACAAGAATCAATGCCAAAATATAGCACATTAGCGACTTTCCATGAAGATTTCTTAGCTCGGGAATTAATGCATAGATGAAGAACGTGATGATCAGAAATGGGATTGAAATCAGCATGCCTGGGATAAAATATTGATTTTTAAGCATCATTTTTAGACACAGGTAAGTGTCATACTCAGAGGAACTCAAGTGTAAGCGTAGACAGAGGGTCTTATTAGGTCTGCAACCTCAAAAAACCCCTAGCTTCAACCCCATTACATAAAACTCACCAACAGTATGAACAATCAATTCCGTTTCATGTCTGTGATGTGCGCTCATGTCGTCTTCTTCAAAGCATGCATAAGGCACAGCTACTGATTCATTTGAAATACCGAAACAAAATTTATTGTAATCAAAATATCCGTCAGAAGATTGCAATGATCCATTCTAAAATCGTTGATAAGAGATTTGATTTATGACTTCTTCTGGAATCGCTTATTTACCTTTTGAAGCTTCCAAGGAGTTTGATTTTCTACTTCAAACATATCCTTACAAGATCGTCCTACTAAGACACCGTATTTATTGTCTTCAAGATTGATTGTTTTTTCTTCACTGTCTTCATTTAGAACTGTGAATTTTGTGGATTCAGAGCAATGTGGAATATTTTTATCATCACCTTGACAACACAGCCTAATGCAAGGCTTAAAATTGCAGATGCATCCACGAATGTGTGGATCAACACTGACTCTTGTTTTAAAAAAATCCTCAACATAACTAAACTCTTGGTATGTCCCATGGGGATACACTTCACTTTTATAGATGAAATTTTGGTTTAAGTCTTTATATCCACCGGTAATATTAACTGTGTCTATAAAGTCGCATGATATACTAGCTTTAACTAAAGGACAGATTAATAATAAATTAAAGACAAAAATTCTTAACATGTTTTAAACTTTATTCGATAGTACACATGAATATGTCTTATTCCTATACAATTCTTAACACGACTGACTGATTAAAAATTCAAAACAATTTTATTTTATAATTTTAAGAATATTTTAAAAACTCGAAAATTAGTATTTATAATTTCACCATTTGTTCACTGATTTAAATACAGTAACTGGTTTTGAGAAGATTCTTAGTTTGACGTCAACGTGCTGCAAAATACTTCGACTAGAAATTTGTATTTGTTTTAAGTTCAATTCCATGTTCTTGTTATATTTTAAGAGCTGTCATTTTTAGCGTCTCATCATAGGTGCCAATAGCGGAGGTCAAAGACTCGTCTTTAGTTGTTGTGGATGCGAAGAACCTTAGAGAAGGAAATAAAGTTTAGGATTAGAATAACAGAGTTCCTTGATTTGAATTAGAATTTTTAATGTTGGGATAGTGATGTTCTGAATCATGGGATTGATCATAGGACTTTACAGGATTGAAAACCTTAATTTACATAATCCTTAGAACCAAAAAAAATTATGCAAATTAAATGCAAATTAATTTGGTAACACAAGGCTGGAAGTCATAAATGAAGCCTGATTTCACATTAATTTCGATTATCTTCACGAATATTGTGTCACTCGGGCTGTGTCAAGGCGTGGAAACTATTCTAAATATCCGATTTATCCCATATATCCCAAAAAAATTCAAAAAAATTCCTGAGCATGTATGCATTAGAATTGAGATATTCCATCATATCCCGAAATTACACGTCCAATACACTAAGAATACGTTGAGATATCCTTATTATCGTGCATACATGCTCAGGAATTTTTTAAATATTTTTGGGATATGTGTAGGGTGACCATCTGCGTAGTTTTACAACGGACAGTCCTGTATTTCAAAGCCCTGTCCTGTATAAATTTGAAAACTTTGTTCCAGGTCCTGTATTTTTTTCACGAAAATTTCCGTTAATTTTCAAATTTTCCTTTGTGTCCTGTATTTTTTATGAAATTTTTCAAATGTCCTGTATTTTCATAAAAATTAGATGGTCACCCTAGATATGTGGGATAATTTCCACGCCTTGCTTGGGCTGTGTAGATCTTTCGATAACTGCCATATGTGTATATTAATGTAAAACAAGTCGGATTCGATGGGAATCAAACCCACGACCTCAATAGAGGCGATATCTCTAACCACTCGATCTGAGATCCCTGCCACTCGGTCACTGAGGTTCTTATCTCATTTCTGCTATCCGTCATACACATAAAACCAGTTTCACTGCGAGCCCTATGATGAAGCCCTACAGATATGCTCTTCAAGTCATATCTACTGGCTGTACACAATTTATATCCCTAATTTACTCACCTCTTTCTAAAAAGCTTTCGAGTTCTCTTATCACAAACGCAAACAAGAAATATCACGAATCCTTGAGCACAGTTGAAAAAGTCAGTTATGTAGAATAAAATGTGAATTTTTTGATAAACAAAACTTATTAATTCCATGCTCCACATCAGCCCCATAATGATGAATAGACGGAGATAGACGGAGAACCTAGGATGGAATGGAAATTGATCAATTTTATAGCAGAACTTTCAAAATTTTAACTACAAACCTTCTCCTAAGAATCCCATGTCCTTTCGTAGAACTTTCATCACTCATCGTACTCTGAACTTGCCATATTTTCCTAGCTGTATCCAAAAATAGCATAATATTGATAATAATAATAATCCCAATGGGAATATAAAGATAAATAGCCTGTGCTTTCAGCTCATGATGCATCCAGTCATTTTCTCCAAACATGGGTAAATATTCATGATGAAAAAGCTGATGATGATTGATTAAGACCGCAGTTATTGTCATCAAAAGTGGAATTCCAATCGCATAAATGCAGTAAATTATAAACATTTTTTGACCTTCAACTTGCGATCGTTTTGCGATGCCATTTCTGTTAGAAGAGAATAATTTTAAATTTTTAATGAGTTTTGAGACAAGACTTGGTTGCTCTGTAGATATAATTAAGCTATCCAGGTAGGCATATGGACTGTATGATCCAGTAAATCCCTTACTTACCTAGCAATCCTCCAAATGTCATAACACATGATGTTCACCCAGAAGAAGCTCAGAAAAATTGTAAAATAAATCAAAACTGCAGTCATAATCCCATTCCTCAATTCCAGATGCTTAAAAATGTTCAGCTTCAGCATCAAAGAATAAAATACAGTAAGTGAAAATGTATAGCACATCAAACATTTACCATGAAGATTTCGCAGCTCTGGAATGCTCGCATAAATGAGGAATGTGATAATTAAAAATGGAATTGATATGAAGAAGCCTTTAAAGAACAAACTTTTATTATTTTAATAATAAATTCATAGCATAAAGCATACCAATTGAATGAATTATGTCTCTAAAGTCTTGTTCCTGTTCTGGAAAGCAGACATAAACAATTGCATTGGAATCATCTGTTTTCTCAACACAAAATTCATTATGATCAAATACATTGTCATCCAATAGCAGTGATCCATTCTATAAATAAAGCACATGCAAATAATTTAATTAACTTTAGTCATATGCAGCTGCAAAAATTTAATTCATGAGTAAGTCTATATTTAATTGAGCATTTCCTATTCCTACATGACTAACAACGTTTTACTCTGAAATTGGTTATATAAAGAGTCACATAGTAATACTTTTTTTGCTGATTAGCGACTCATCATCTTCCCGAATGGTACAAGTCGGATGATTCATCAGAAATTCAGCACCAAACTGGTGTGACTCTGGCATGGTGCTGGATTTAAATCGAAGCCAGCATCATGCCAGAGTCATCCCAGCCTTGCACCGGATTTCAATTCGATTTCCCGACTTGTGCTAGTCAGGCTTAGTTCATATTTTGAACTTACATTAAGGAACTTCCATTCTTCACCAGCATCTCTTTCTAGCTCATACATATCTTTACATGATCGGCCGAGGAGGATACTATATTTATTATCACTAATATTGATTGTTTCTTCCTCATTATCTTCATTAAACACATTTAACTCATTCGATTGGAGGCAATTTTCAGTGTCATTTTCTAAACAACAAAATCGGAGGCACTGCTTTTGCTTGCAAACACATCCACGAATGTGCGGATTGACACTAATTTTTACATACGCGTAATCTTCAATGTAATCAAATTCATCATAAGTTCCAAGGGGGAATATTTCACTTTTATAAATAAAATGATCGTTACTGTCTTTAAAGCCATCGGTTATATTAATTGTTTCTATAAATTTACACGGAAGATTTGAGTCAGCTGTTCGAATAGCAAAAATAATAGTAAGTATGATCAAATTACTTAACATTATGAAATTATTTAATTGGCAAGACTAGACTTGTTTTGACAAAATCCACACTACAACTGACTGTGTAAGTGTGAAAAAATTTGAGTTGTGTTATCGCATTTATATTTGTATTTTAATTACTTTTTTATTTTTGGTATTAAATTACACTGATAATGGTTATAAATCTTGATGATGTATGCAAATTTTGTTCTCGGGGTTCCACGTAATTATATTATTTTTTGCCAGTTTAATGCACTTGGTAGCGTAGCTAATTACCATGATATTGACACAGCGATCACAACTAAGAATATCATGAAGCTATAGGCTTGGGAAGCTAGATGATGTAGGATTAAATATGAAAACCAAACGATTTAAACAAAACAACAAAATCAAGCATTTTTATTCATCAAATTTTAACCTACAAATAGAACAAACATTTAAGGTAGTTAAGTCAATAAGGTTTAGAGTCTGGAACTGATCGAACCTGATCATAATTCGATTTATCAGTTCAACACACTTGAACAAGATTCGTATACAAAATGCAAACAAACAAATATATATAAAATATCAAAAGTAGGCCCATATTAACACTATAAGTAGCTTCATTATTAATCTTGTCATATAATTGCCATGACTTCTTTGGTTTTAATCAGAGTTCGAAGTCGATAGGGTTCGAATCGACTCAATTGCCTCAACTTGACTCAAAACCGAGTCGACTCAACTTTTTTCGAGTCAACTTCGAGCTCTAGTTTTAATATGGAAATAATTTTAGTAGTCAGATTTAATTTTTGATTTTTGATTCTGAAATGGTCAGTCTGTCACTAGGCGTGTTTTCAATCTCTTCAACGGCTGTTACGCTTTCTTTGCTTGCGAATCTTCTTGGACAGCATCTGAAATTAAATTAATTAAATAGAAAATTTTAATCAATCTACTAAGTTTCTACGTGCTATTATTAAACCTCTACATAGTGAAATTGCAAAGCTATTAGGTTTCTAGAGAAAATACAAAAGTCTTGCGATTACTCGTATGGAAACTTGAGCCCTTTGTTATGCAAGGCTGTCGGGTTAGTTGACACAAGAGGCTTAAACTGCTATATTTTAATAATTTGTGAATGTCGATTCAAAACATCTGTCAGGTGTGTAAATATTTGACAATACACAGTTAGCTTTAAAATGTTCTCCCCTAGAATTTAATTTTCAGGGCTAAATTGATTTTCAGAAACGTGAAGTATTTGAATTTTAAGTTTCTGTATAGACTATTCTACAATAATACCAGCAATGAGTGATTTTGAAAGTTTTACCTAAAGTTTGCTCAAATTTTATGAATGGAAGATGTAAGATGAGACTTGGGAACACAAAATGAGATGGTAAAAGATGTGTCGATCAACTATGAACAAATGTAAATGTAATTTTTACAAAACTAAAATCAAATAAGGTTGCTCACTATTGACGTAAATCTGTAAGAACGTCTAAGCTTCCAGTCAATAATTCAATCAATGCGAATAGTTTACCTTATCAAAAATGAAGCATGCAGTTAGATTTGATATCCTAGCTGGTACACAAGATACCCAAATGCTTCCCGTCACCCTAAGTCTATTGTTCCGTTTTAACAGATGTCATTAGTGAGCCACCCCTTTTGATATAAAGATCAACATTATGAGTTCATCTTTTAATAATAAAATTAAATCTAGTTGCTCACCTTTTAACTAAAAGCTGTCTTGTTCTAACATCACAAACACATATTAAGAATATCAAAAGTCCTTGAATGCAATTGAAGAAGTCCACGATGTAGAAGAATATTGATTTACTTCCAACTAGCCAGCTGATTGACTCCATACTCCACATGAAGCCCATTAAGATGAAGAGACGGAGGTAGATGAAGAATCTGGTGGAATTAAGGGATATTAATTTATGTCTCCACTAATGGACTCTCAAAAATGCTCACCTTCTTCTCAATATCCTATTTCTCATCTGTCCCTTTCCTCCCTTAACTGATGAATTTTGGAAATTCCATATATTCCTAGCTGTATCTCCAAATAGAGCCACATTAAGCAATATGATGATTGAAATCGGTATGTACACGTAAATTGCCTCAGCTTTAAACTGTGATTGAATCCAGCATTTAATTTCTCCAATCATTGGCAAGTAATGTTGATCAAATGGTTTAGTGACATCAATCAGGAAAACAGTTATAGTCATCAACAGTGGACACGTGACGGAATAAATGCTGTAGATTATGAATGTTTTTAATTCTTCTTGTTGCGATCGTCTGACGGCTTTTCTGAAGAGAAATTAATAAGCATTTTGTGAGATTAATAAGGCAAGAGTATTATGGGAAATTGAGAGTCGTGGGATTCAAACTTTTAATCCACAGATTAGTCAAATTAACAAATTTTTGTTTAAAAATTGCTCATTGATTATTTTGACTCATCACTTCCCACTAATCGACTCTAATTGAGAAAGTACTCACCTGGCAATTTTCCATATATCAAAGCACATAACATTCATCCAGAAGAAACTCAGGAAGGCGGCAAGATATATCAAATATCCAACAGTTTTGCAAATTTTTTGATGTAAATAAAGATCAATTATATCCATTTGTGCTGTTATCAATGCAGCATAAAGAATTGTCAATGAAAATGTGTAGCACATCAAGCTACGTCCGTGAATATTTTGCAGCTCCGGAACGCATGCATAAATTAAGAATGTGATGATTAAAAATGGAATTGAAATTAACATTCCTTGAAAATAAGAAATTAAAACTGTGATGAGTTCCTTATCAAGCTATAAATCAACTAATTTGAAAGATTTATTCAAAAAAAATTTAATCTCAAAACTCAATTAATTAATTGCTTAATTTATGAATGAAATGGGCAATTACCGATTGGGTAGACCACATAACGATTATCTATAGAGTCATCGCTGTTTTCAAAACATAAGTATAAAATTGCTACGGTTTTGTTTGTTACACCAAAGCAGTAATCATCGATGTTGTGTACTTGTTTGTCCTCTGGCTTGTATATTGATCCGTTCTGGAATGGAGAGATGAAGTTTGGTTATTGTTTATCTTGCTGTAAGTGCTACATGTATATACACAAATGTAAAACAAGTCAAATTCGGTGGGAATCGAACCCACGACCTCAAAATGGGAGATCTCTAAACACTCATTTAAAGATCCTGCCACTCGACCACCGAGGTACTTATCTTACATCGGCTATCCTTCAGACACATTCAACAACAAGCTCTATGCTCAGTCCTATCTACTCTTGATATGTTATTAAAATGGATTGGAACTCCTTGAAAAATAGTCTAGCAAATTCAAAAAATATTGTTGCCGAGTAAGATTTGAAACCTAACCTCCTTTACTTTGGATCAATAACGATTTTATATCTCAAACAGATGCCAAATGTGAATCATTAATAATGTCTTTATTAGCTGTTTTTTAAAAATTAATAGTAAATAACATTTTACTGTAATAATCATAATTTTCCAAGTTTACATCCATTTACTACTTGGCAAACAAAAAAATCAATAATGGATTGCTTAATGAGAAATGCTAATTGCTTAGAAATAAATTTCATATCAATTATTATCAGTGGCGTAAAGGTTTTGAGGGACAAAAACTCGATCATGTTAGAATTTAATGGTCTTTTATTATTTTTGGCGCCAGATTGCATTTGAATCTTTATCGCTTTTAAAGTTTCCAATAGTTTCTCTTCATTCCTTACCCAAATGTTGATTAGAAATTTTCAATAAAAAAAAAATAATTTTCCCATCATGTTGTTCTCTCCTCGACACTTAAGCTATAGATTTTCAAAAAAGTATCAAATTTAATAGCCCCAAAAACCTTCTAATCTACGCACCATAGCACAAAGTTTAAATAGCACTGACCTAGCTTAATAGCTCAATAAATTTCCTATTGAATTACAAAGAAGGAATGTTTATACACTCAAAATAGTGTTTAAAATATCCGTAGAGATGAAAATGAAAATTTCTTCCCACATAATGTAAACAAACTCACTTTCAAAAAGTTCCAGCGATCGTCATCGTAATCGGCTACATTGAGTTCATACATTACTTTGCATGGACGACCGATAAGTATTCCATAATGAGTGTCATTTAAATCTATTGTTTCATCCTCATTGACCTCATTTACGACCGTTATTGTGTCTGATATGAAGCAATTTGAGTCAAAATTATTTTCTTTTCCTTGACAGCACAGCCGTATGCAAGGTTTGAGCTTACAAATGCATCCACGAATGTGTGGATCAACACTGACTCTATTCCTTGCAAAATCTTCAAGGTAGTCAAACTCTTGATATGCACCAAGTGGATATACATCACTACTATAGATGTAATTGCGGTCAATGTCTACATATCCACCAGTAATATTGACAGTCTCAATAAACGAGCACGGCAGACTCGATTCAACTGATCGGCTGATGAAAATAAAAACAGCGATGAGTAATTTCCATTCCATTTCCATTTTTTTATTTTAAAAAATATTTAACTAATGACTAATCACGAATTAAAGGAATTAAGTTCATTTGAGTCCGATTTTGCCGAAATTCACAGCGCAACTGACTGAATCACGAAGAGATCAACTTGCTGCTCTACATTTTTTTTTGTATGACTTTATCGTGGATATTTTTCAGATAAGTGACTTATCGTAGAATTTTGAGCTAGTCTCACTTTCCCAGTTCTCTCAGAGGACTTTTTGTGCTCTCAAAAAAAGTCCAGAAAAAAAAAATCTCTCAGTCAAGGCCAGTCCAGCAAATTCACATGTGTAAATCTCATTAAATAACTCATTTCTCAGCAAATTGCTCATTATTGAATTTGAGAATTTCTACTCATCATAAAAATTAAAGTGGACGTAAAGATCTTCGAGCTGCTAAAAGATGCGTAGTCAGTTTAATTTATCATCATCTTCGTCATTACACGGTCTTAAAAATTTTCTCGTTGGCGTTCTGTTGAACGGATTCCTAATTGTTTGCATGAGAAAAAAAATAAAGTAATTGTGAGAGAAGATGAAGTCAAGAGGCTGAATTAAATGGAAGTAGTTTGTCGATGAGTTCATTCAGTTTATAATCTATCGATTCTTATTTTATATATTTTTTTGGTGGTGTTTAATTTTGAGAATCGAGAGAATTGGTGACCGGTGAGTTAAAAAGCAGTAAAATCTGGTAGGGAGTCGTTCATAGATTTCGTAGCTCGCAAGAGGAAATGCCAATGCTTGGACAGAAACACAAGTTTGTTCTTCCGTTCTTGGTTGGAATCTGCAAGGGAAAGGATGTCCTGGAGCTCCAAAAGCTACTTGGTGAGGAACAGTGATGAAGGAATGTTAATGAAATTATACATCCAAGGTGACAGAGCCAACAACAGTGTCATATGGAAAGCTTTTTACCTAAACAAACCTAAGCTCCACATAGGAACATGGTTAGAGTAAGGAAAAGGACAAAGACTAACCAACCCCCCACCAAACCACCCCCTCCCCCTCTCCTACCTTCTTAGTGCTTCGACAAATACGAACAATCCCCAAAGCATCTAATAAATCACAAAATTTACCAGCTCTGTCCCAATTAACAACCAAAAATTCCGGAACCTAAAATCGCCTTAATTTGACATTTTATAAGCAACTTTTAATTGGCAAACAACAAAACAAGAAAAATTCAGCAAGTGCCTATTCATAAATTGTTGTGTATTCAAAAAAAAATAAGCTCTTGAGCGTAATTGGTCATTTTAATTTGAACTCAACTCGATCCCTAAAAAACAAATAAATAAAAAAAATCTCTCAATTCACAAAAATGCACTTGCTACAGTCCAGTCCACTGCAATTTGTCATTATTTATAGCACTTGTTTTTATATATTTTTTTTTCATTATTATTATTTTTATAGCACAAATATGAAAAATGATCCTTAGGAGCATGAAAAAAAAATCAGCAAGCAACAACAGCTCGCATGTAATTGAAAAATGTAGGAGAGTCCATGTGCTCAACAATATCATAAATCATCATAATTGCTTTAATGATTTTAATTTGTTTTATTGAAGCTGTTTAATGGTTGATTTTCATTCGATTTGAGATGATAAATATATTTTCATTTTGCCGTTGCTAGACAGCTGTGCTTTGCGATAAAATATTCTTTGTGCGTTGTTTTTTTGAATTGATGATTGGTTGTCAAAGCATTTTGTAAGCTTTCAATTTTTATATTTTTTGGAAATAGTTTGTGGGTTGGGATCAAAGCTTTTTTGATAGTTGTGGCATGGATGCGCACCATAACAACTTTTTTTGCACTAATTGACTAGTTTTTTGATATTTTGAGTAGTTACAAAGCGAAGGCATTAATTAATGATGTCTTTTACAGCTGCAGATTTCCCACCGACTATCAACGATGAAAGTCACAACAAGTCAGTGATCCTCAAACTATGCTTCACGACACACTATTGTCTCTATTAAATAATGAATGATCCAGGCAAGTAAAATGAGGTTAAAAATAGCCATTCAAGGTTGCTAACTTTTGTTCCTAGTAAATTTTGTCATAACAACTCAAAAGCTTCACTCGTTAATTAGGAATCGTATGTTTTCCAGGAGATAATTAAACGTATCCATGACTTCATGTGTATTATTGGCAATCAATAAATTTTATCATTATTAAAAGTTGTGTTTCATGAATTATTCATTTTATCATTTTTATTGATGGATGAATTAATGAAACTAGGTACTCGAAATTGATTGTGAATTGCTTTGGAAAATTCTCTGGGAAATTAGATAAGACCGCTTTTACATCGTATACGTTTATGATTTGACTGAGAGATCTGGTATGAGTCAATGCTTAAGTCTCAACAAATACAGCTTTAGTAAGCGACATAACTCGAAGTCGATGAAATTTTATAAGGAGGAATCGACACTGCCATATAAAACTCGAGTTAACTTCGAGCTCTAGTAAGCAAAGGGCGAAGTTTATATAGATTTTGTATTGAGTCTAGTACAAAACTAGTCGAGTAAAACCGGTTTCGTTCTGAGCGGACTCAGAAAATAAAATTCATCCTAGAAAATGTATAAACAGCATTTATGATTCAATAATTTGCGTTAATACTAAACTTAAATCAAATGTAGGTTGAGAAAAAAATTGTGAATATTTTGACACGTGGGAAACCAATCAAGTATGACTTTGAAAAGTTCAACCTTTTATAAATAGCTTGAATAATAATATTAGGAAATAACTTCATCGTCCTGTCATAGACACGGTTATTTTGCTATGGTTGTAGACCAGTGGTGACCAGCCTTTTCTTGTGCTAAGGCACCAAAACTGTAGAAAGCATACGTTTCGAGAGATGTATCAATTTTTCTTCACGGCACATGGGTGGGCCATCACTGATTGTAGACTATTGACGTAGTGAGAGGATACGAAAGCGAGGCATATTGGGTCGAGTTAAGGCTCTCTTCCACAGAATATCATGATTGATTGTTTTTTGCTGCCAGGATTAGGATTTGGATCGCCCTTTCTTTGAGCAACCTAAAGTCATTGGTTATCACGTTAGCCAAACAACTATTGCTACACTACTCGAGTTACCATATTTTTGATGAATTAGCTAGGAGGTATTGTCCATTAAGCTGCTTAAATAAAGGACAACGACTTAATTATAATGAAGCTTTAAAAGCTTAAAACCTTCCTTCACCACTGCCGAAGCCAACAAAATAATTCTAAAAATATTTTTTTACATTTTTCTTCGGAGAATGCTTTTGGCATTAATGAACTTTATGACGACGACGACAACGTTGCCATAAAATATTTCCTTTATTACGATAAATTCTCATTCTAGCCACAAAATTTTCAAATGATTTTCGTCTGCAAATATTTGCAGATTTATTTTCGTCATTTTCTAAGACACAAGCAACAAGATTGCGTCATATCAAGACATCCACATCTCGATAAATATTGAAAGTGAATGGCAGATTGATCTTCCCAAAGCATCTTTAACATTCTATCAACTGATGTGAAATTAATTTACAAAATTCCCCTAGAGGATGTACTCAACATTTTGATGCTTTTATCTTCTCATCAAAAAAAAAATAAATAAGAGAAATTCGAGTTCTTTCTTGCGAATGTTTCGAAAGCGAAAGCTGATTCTTCTTATTTCATATCAACAAACCAATTTGCTGTAAATTGAATGTGGGAAAGTGATAGGAAATGGTAAGGGGTTGGAGCTGAAAGATTGAAGATGTATTGGGAAGGTTTTTCGAAGAATTTATGGTTAATTGAATGTTTTGGGAAGGAAGGTAGGTATAGTTTGGGGAAAGTTGTGTCATGTATGTGTTTAGGAACAGCTTTGGCAATGTAGCTAGAAAGCTTGCTTATGTTTGAGGGTTTGGAGTGCAAAATTGAAATTGGGTTTGGAATTTTTAGACAAAATATCAAGTTATAATCTGTAGGGGTCGTTTACTTATGACGTCCAACATTTAAGGGGGGATAGGGGTCGAACAATTTGTTACACATTGTGACAGGGGGGAGGAAGGAACCAGGAAATTTTTGACATCTATGATCACATTTATGAATCTCAATGGGAAGGGGGGGGGGGGGTGGGTTGACGTCTGTAACCGTTTTGTGATAGATGGGTGGGAGGGGGTCTAAAAATGTTTAATTAATGATCGTCATAAGTGAACGGCACCCAATTATAATGTCAAAAATAAATGAATATCACTGAGCAATAAAACAAGCTCTTTCGTTATTAATGTGCCAGCTAATTAGCTATCTTGCCATTAAGTTTGACAGACTCAAAAAACACAGAACCTTGCATCCTTACTATCTCTTAACCTATAAACAATCCACAGAACATGTTTGAATTACAACAAATATTAAACATAATTAGAAATGAATTTTCTGCACACGTGTCCACCCATACAGCATCAAAAAAAATCCCATCATCATCTAGCTCATTAGTGCCATAGTGACGATCGTACTCGACAAACCATTGCAAATTAATTTCGATTTATTTTCTAATTTGTATCAATTAATTTTGCGGTATAAACAAACTTAATATCCAAAATGGTTGTTGTGTCTTAATTTTCTTTTTTGTTCCATTAAAATGCAGAGCCTCACTAATTGCTCATCTCTCATATTTTTTTTTCCTACTCTCCACTTCCATTTTTCCACTTCATCAGATTACATTTCGTAAACAAAAATATTTCTATTGTTGCTGTTTGTGCTACTTGCTTGCTGTTATGATGAAGATGATTATTATTGTACTTTTTTTGGCCTTTTCATTCTTCCTTTATTATTGCCACGAGCGGTACTTTAGATGAATGTAAAAAAATAGGTCTTTCATATTTTTTTAAGGACTAAAGAATGGAAAATTCATTTTGAAAAATTAATTTTTATTAGAAAAGCCATTTTTCATAAATAGCAGTCAATCAACCGTTGTAATTTACTTTTCTTGTTTTTTTAAAGGTGCTGTTTTATGGATGATGTGTTTAATATTGGTAGGGGGTGGTTGCTTTACTTTGACAGACTGACCGATATTGGAGCTAAATTAATAATGAATGTGAGCTTACTTCTAATCAAATAAGTTTTACTTTGATTACTAGTCAGGAAGAAAATAGAATTTCATAATTTTATTACCAATCGCCCTCAGTTGAATAATGCTTGGTGGGCTCAAGACCCACAGTTCTGCACATTGCAAAAACACCAGTACCTTTAAATACTATCTATTCAAAATTCGTGTGCGTATGATTCTTTAACGAAATCATCCAGATCCTAGTAAACCTACCAAAAGATACACATTATGTGATAAAGAATTCAAAATTACATCCAATACACGGACTTCGGTTCGTTACCAGAACAGTGAAATGAAAAAATTGCTTCTAAAAGTTGACTAGGTCTGGGATCGAACCTAGGACTTTTGATTCGTGACGCAAGTACTCTACTACTTAGTTCACTGAAGCTATTTTCCCAAATTCCCAAGTGTGATTATAGTGACAATATGCGCAACAAATGACTCTCATTGTACATTACTTATTCCATTGTTATTTTCTATTGCTCACTTCTCTTCATTAATTATTAACAACATAAAACGATGCAGGTTTGACATGTTTTGCAAAGTAAAGATAAAGTGTAATTTTTTTAAAAAAATATTTCTGGCAAATTTATTTGTGGATCATCATTTAATAAGAAGGAGGACTCTTGACAAGAGGGTAGCAAGAAATACAAGCGTCAATGGTTGGGACATAAGTGAGCGAAAATTCTGTCTTCTGGCAGAAACTGAGGCTATTTGTAATCAAAGAAACCAGACGCATAGCTAGGGGGATATGGTGTTCTCCTTAGAGAACAGGACTTTTCTCATTTTTGTAGGGTTTTTATGAGAAAATCTTAACCCCCCCCCCTCCCTACAAAAAAGAATTTCCAAACAAAAAATTTTGTTTCTCAATTACTTGGAGAGACCCCTAAAAAAACCTAATTTATTGAAGAGAAAAATTAAAAAATAAGCTATCAGCTCAGAAGAGAGCTATGAGAGAGCCAAAACCATTAAAAATTTAAAATTTCTGTCATCAGTCTTAATCTTAACCTTTAAGTAGACAGAATGAAGTTCATTATCAGCCAAATTTTTATTGCTTTCATTTTAATCTCAACGTTTAATGAAGCTTGTTGTGAAATTGTTGACCAAAAGAGAAGATTAGGTCGAATTCTTGAAAAATTAAACGAGAATGAGAAAGGAACTTTATATGAAGTGAAAAGTTTGAACATGGACTGCGCTAAAGATTTATTTAAATTCCCACAAAATCAAAAAATGATATTAAATGAAATGGAACAAATTATGATATAAACGAAATGGTCTTTATTATGGGAGCAAAGCTCAAGTGTTCTAATGAGGAACTATCACTTCAATTCAACATCACCAGCTTTGAAAGAAAGGGTGTGCATTTTTATTTGAACTGCCTAAAATATCACCTAAAGGTCCTCGAGCCGACATCAAAATTAATTGAGAATTTTGCAATTAGCGAAGAAGACATCAAAATATGCAGCAAAAGAATTTATGTTGCCGAGATTGAGCAACTTCAACAAATATTTGAAGAAAGTGTGAACCAAAAGACAAGTGTATTTACATGTGGGGCAGTAAGTGGTGCAAATGATTATGTGAAATTCATTGCTAAAAATGCGATATTACAAAAAGGCAACATACATAAAGTGTTAAGAGAAGTTGAGATGAGAAATATAAAAGAATATTTTCAAAATGTTGTAATCTCGACTGTTGACTGTATTACGAAAAGATTTGAAGACAATCCTTCAGGTAAGGACATTCATTTCGAGGACTCGGGTTTTTTCGAGTCGACTCGAGTCGACTTCATTTTCTGGGTTGAGTTGACTTGAGTCAACTCGAAAGAAATGAAGTTGACTCGAGAAGAGTTGAGTGGACTCGGTTTTGAGTCAACTCGAGTCAACTCGGACCCAATCAACTTCGAGCTCTGTCAAATAATAAGTTGTTAATGCCATTTAATTCAGCTTTTCTAGCAAACAACACCTTAAATTACTTCTTCAAGAAATCACTGATTCCATCAAAAGCCGAATTTTATTTCCAAGAATCCATAACACTAGCTGAAGTTGAAAACAATGTTGATTCCGAATGTATTAAAGAGAAACTAAAATTAACTGAATTTGGAAACACGACACTTCTTCAAGAAGAAGCAGCAATTTTTATCGCATCGGCAAAGTCAAAATGCAATTTGATTAATTTTAAAAGTATTTTAAAATCAATTATCAATTCAGTAGACGGACGATCTTGGGACAGCGGGTGTTCAAAGTATTATTTACACAAATTAGAGCCAACATCTAAGCTTGCAAATTATTCGAACGATGACAGTGAAAATATAGAAGATTCTTGTAAGAACTACGAACCGCTAATTTATCTTTATCGCACTATAAATATTAAATACGAAAATGCAATTGGTAAATTGACAGAAACAACATGTGGTTTGGTTACTGATGAATTCTTGAAAGCGATTTCATATAAAACAATTTTATTGAAAGTTGAGGAAGACGAAGCAATTAAAAATAGTGGAATGGAAGAACTTTTGTCATCTGTAATTGAAAAGCTACATAGGCTGGCTGATTGTGTTCTTAAAAATGTTGCTTAATTAACATTGAATTCTTAAGTTGTGCTGTATTTGGTTTAGAGATCATAATCTTAGTTTTCTGGCTCTGAAATAAAGAAGTTTTCTTCTAAAACCTATTTTGTTGCTAAAACAGTTTGCATCCTTCTTAAAACTGCAACATCCCCACTGCTCTTCATCCTTAAAACCTCCTCATTCCACAAAACACTCACCAACATTTCACATGCCATTTACACAAAACAAATGATATTCAAGCATCAAACTTAATGAAGAACAAAACCACACCACAAATCTTATGATGTAAGTAAAACTTAACCTACATGCATATTCCATTGTTGTGATGATGTATTTCACCAAAAACAAATATTTATGATGCTTGAAGGCACAAATCTCATCACAAACAGAAAATATAATTGGCATAATTATTGAAGTGAAATAATATTCTTGTTTTGAAGCTAATTAGTTGTACAAACTGTGGGTAATTAAAATAATTGAACTGCGTAGTTGAAGATTCTCAGAAAATTTTCTTTCATGTGGATTTTGAGGATTGTTCTGCATAAGTCAGGTATAAAATAAATTTGGTGTCTCTATTGCTTGTAAATAATTCAATTCTAATTTAATTGATTGAGCCGCAAATAGTCAGCAATTATTAAATCAATATAATTGATTTTGGTGAAGTTGATGGATTGCTACTACATTAGTAGAGTTAAGAGGCGACTATCCTAATAGACTTAATCATTAATAATGTTTAAATCTATATTATGTACGCTAGCTCACTATGTAGAGCATAATCTTCATTAAGCAGTTGTGTATCCAGCAGCCAATCAAAAACTCTTTAGATCTTAGAACTAGTGTTCATGTCCATTCCAGTAAAAGCCCTCCATCGTGAATTTATGGCTCTTGTGGCCTTCTTATTCTGTCTACATAATTCTTAACCCGTTCCCACATCTTACATCGCCTAATTCTTAGTTTTACGTCTTAAACTGCTGCACCTAAGAAGCCGAAGTATCTAGACTTCTGAAAAAATCACTAGGCTTGTGGAAGGATTTGAACCCGAGAGTCCAAATTCAAAGCTAGCTTTTGTGACCTGTACCTTGCCGAGTGAGCTATCAAGACACATTTGCTGCTTAACCATAAATGCATTGATTGATGTTTCAGACAATTGACACAACCAAAAACCAAATTGTTATAGCTGATATCAACTAAGACGACCTCAACCGCCGAAATCACATCAAATTAACTCCTCATCGATTAGTAAGTGCGTTCATTTCATCCGTCATTAAAAGAATTCCTCAAACTAATTTATTTCATGTCATTATTTCCATGCTCTCCTTTTTTGTCATCCTTAAATGGCGGTCCATCCTTCGTTATTTGAAAATAAATTTTCATTATCCATTTCACTCATTCCACATCCTTCCTTCCTTTCCAAGAATAAAAACTTTTCATTCTTTTTTTCTTATTTCACGTTGCGGATAACTTAATTATCATATTTTAAATTCACTGCTTTCACTTTCACTTTTTTTCTTGCCCTCGCAAAAGCACTGAACTTCTTTTTTTTTGTTGTATTGTTGGACTTGGCAGTGCGAGAAAAAGAACTTTTTTTTTGTGTGCCATTTTTTGTCGTATGTCCTCGTAAATTACTTTTACATTTCACACTGCTATTTTTCTTACAGCTTAGAGCTGTAGAATGAAAATAGCGACCATTTTTCCTAATTTAAATTGTCGCCGCTGTGGATATATATTTTTGTAGTGTTGAGAGCAGGCATGATGTTGACTTGTGGGAAGGTGGCAATTTATCAGGTTCGGAGTTTGAAATTGAGTCGCTTTAAGTTGGGTTTATGATAAAATTTTAATCAATATCAAGCTCCTTAGTGCCGTAGGAAAGGAAAAAGTCTCAAGTTCCATCAAGGTCGCAAAGCGTGGAAACTCAGGATTAATCCTGAAAATTCCCAAAAATGCCTGAGCAAATAAACATGAAATTTTTAAATTCCCCTAGTTCCCACGCCTTGCCAGGTTGTGACTTTGTGTCTAAATCCACAAGTATACCCAACAAACAAATCATCAGTTGCAAAGCTAATAGATTCAAAGTTGCGACATAAGGATTTAAGCTCTATCTCTTTTTACCAAGCTCCTTGCATTTATCTCAGTGATTTCAGAGACACTTCCCCTCTTACTCTTCTCCTGCTGATCACATTTAATGTTAGTCTCCAAAATGTAGCACCAACTTCACACAACACCCCACCACAAACCAACAATTCCTCTAAACGCTAAGCGAATTCCCTCGTAGCAAAATATTTTACATAAATTCTGTTCTTATTTGACAGTACAAGCAAAAATATTGATTGATTGTGTGTGTTAATTAAGTTAACAATGTGACTGCGCGGCTACACAGCGTAAAACGTTCTAAGCTTTATGGGGAAAACAACAAGAAGAGGAAGCAAAAAGGAAAGAAAAATAGCTTTGAAATGACATCGCAAATCTCTGGTGACAAAAGAGTGTATTTTCAATCTCGTCCTTTGTTGCTGCTGCTGCTGGGTCTCATCTATCGTGGTGTATTTATTGTCTGTTAGCTGAAAATTGTAATGGAATATGGAATGTTTGGACTCTGAAGTGTCTTTGAAGTAACAATCCCGGAGAGCACAAGTCGGATAATCGAGACGAAATCCTACGCAAGGAAGATATCACGGCGACTTTAGGGCAAATTTTTCGTCATGACGAAATAATAGTTTTAAAGCAATTCTAAACACTCATTTGATCTCCATTCGCTTAAATCAAATTTCAATAATAATCCAGATCAAACGAAATGCGTCATGAAATCCACAAAAAAGAGCCACAGATCATCTAAACTTCCCCATCGGTATAAAATTTCAAAGAACTCACTTTCCACATCTCTTCATATCTCTGTATCTTTGTTGGCAACTAATAAAAATGTTTCTTATATAAATAAATTAAAATTCATTAAATTAAAACCGCAACATACACAAACAGCAGACGAACTGGAAATGAAAAAAAGAAAGAGAATGAATGAAAAAAAACTTTTTCTATATTTTACAATTGCTGTTTATTATGTGAGACTTTCTTCCTTCAATTTCCAATTTATTTTGTCGACGCTTCTCGTTTACTGTATTCTGTGGATGAATGTGTAACAATAAGATACTTAATGAACATAGAAACGTTTTTACAACGGTTTCTTTCTTCCTTATTTTGCCTGTTGTTTGTGGGACCTTGATTTAAGTTATTTTTACAGGAAAGTAGCTAGAAGTAATGTGACTAAAGTCGATGATTTGGCTTTGAAGCATTAATTTTAAAAACTTGCATACGGAACCTCATAAGGAGACAAGCTATGACGTTCGAAATTAACGGTCATGTTTCAACAAAGAACAATGGATTTCCAGGAATTTCTATTGTTCTTCTCTTGCTGACCCCACCCACCCTCCCAGGGGCGTAGCCAGAAAATTTTTAAGGGGGGGGGGGCCCATTTTCGAAAATTAAAAAAACCGTTATTTTGTATCCTTAAATCTATATTCATTCTTCATAAATTTAAATATTTAATTCATTATTCATATATTAAATTTAATTTTTCGTGCTGATTTTGACATTTCTTTCATCACTTCCTCTACATTAACTGGTTCTTCTCTATAAATACTTAATAAAGCAATTATCAGATTTTCGTAGGGGGGCCCGGGCCCCTAATGCCCCCCCCCCCCCTGGCTACGCCCCTGCACCCTCCCCATGGACGTCATAAGTGAACGGCCTTAAACCTGAAAAGGAAATAAAGTATGAGCGTAACCGGTAAAGGAGGAAGGTTTCAAAGCAGGACCAAAGTCGGTTATCCCTCAGGTAATTTTTGAATAAGCCACTAAGGCACACATTTATGATTTTTGAAGTTTTTTACTTGTAACTTTAAAGAAACATTTAATTACAAATTCAAGGTACAACATAATCATTCTGATTAAGTCAAAATCACAATTAGAATTACTGAAAATTTTATAACCTAAAAAACATTTAACGACTTTAAAAATAAGCGTTCCTGTTGTGACTTTTAATTACCAACAAAATAAACATTTTCAAGCTCAAAATACTCAATAAAAAAATATTTTTAATACAAAATACATTTGCATTAAAATCTCACGACTTTTATATCCGCTGTTATCCCCAAAAGAATAAACATCAACAAGCACAGAAACGGAAAGCAACAAACATAATCAGAAAGTAATCGCTATAAGTGATAGGCTATCAGATTTTATGACTCTAAATTCCTTCAACAATGAAATCAATTTGAAAACAAAAAAATCCCAATTTACAAGACAAAAAAAAGAGAAGAGAGGAAGAATAGCAACAGCCAGAAGAGGCAAAAAAGCGAATCCTTGGCTGTAAGTATTAATGAGCCATATAGACAGTTTGTTTGCCATTGCCATTGTTTTCTTTTTTGTTTCTTTTCTTTCTGCTGTATTCTGCTTTAACACCATTCAGTACATAGAAATGATGATATTCTTGTGTAGTAATGGTTGCATGATGGGATTGGATGGGAGGAAATTGATTTTTGGATGGTTGAAATTTCATAAGTTTTTGAAGGATTTAGAGATTTGATGGCTGAAGAGTAGCTTTATTATTTGGTTTTTAAAGTTTTTTGTAAGATGCCATTTTTGATAAAAACGATGAAACCTTAAAAGGTTCTCGGGACACTAAATCACACTTCATTGAAAGATATTCTTTGTCAACAATTATTGAACTCCTGAGACTGATTTCTGTGGTTCATCTCGTGCATCCTATGCAACACTCTATCTTAAATGCAACTTATCCACCTTCTAGTGCTATTTTACACTATTTTCCACTACTAGGCTACCTGCAAGATTGAAGCTCATTGAAATTCTTCTGGCATTGACGGTCAGGTTGATAGTATAATTAGAATCAAGCGGCAGTCACTTGATAATGGCAGCAACGTGACAACCACTTAACGTCCAGTTGGAAATGGCTTCTTCGAGGCTGGCGCTTGTTTCTAATTATACTATCAACTTAACCGTCGGGTGGCAAACATTTCAATGTATGCCCATCAGGTTGGAGTAGGAATTGGTAAAATACTCTATGTTACCCT